TATATTTTCTCTACTCTGTATTGAGCACTCTTTTGCGAATTAAAAATATATTATAGGTTATTGAATTTATACCTGTGCATATATATATATATATATATATATATATATATATATATATATATATATATATATATATAAAGTGAATATAAAATCAACACTTAGAGGCCACAGTCTGTTTCATGCTAGATGCATTCGTCAGGCCACGAGTGTTGTTTTTTTTTTCTCGGATATTTGTATATAGAGGTCAGGGGTGCGTTGTGGGTAGTCTATGTTGGCGGTTATTTTACCGGAAGTCGTTTATTTGTTTATTTATTTTGGTTAAATTATTTTGCTTGTTTTTATTTATTTTCATTTTTTAGTTTTATTTCTTATCTTATTATTTATTTTTTATTTTATTTTAATCGGTTTTTTCATTAACGTAGTAAAAATTTGTTTATATCGCTTAATAGTTTTGTTTTTTATTGGGAAGATAATTAAAGCTATTTATTCAATTTTGAGGTTGATTGTTGTAGTTTATTCTAACTATTATTTTGACGGGAGCAGTTTTTTAAATTAGTTTATTATTTCATGTATTTATTTGGATTGATTATCTTTATTTGTTTTTTCTAATGGTTAGTTTATCGGGATCGGTTTGTTAGTTTATTTGGATGGATTTAGATTAATTTATTTTACTTGTTTTTTATTATTTATTTGTTATACTGTATATTTTTATTTACTCTTTTCGGTTTTCGATTTTTAAGTAACGTAGTATTTTTTCTTTTATCGTTATATAACAGTTATAGCTATTTTTTTCGTCCGATTTTTGATTTGATTTTTATAGTCTAACTAATATTTTGATCATAATGGTTTGCTAATTTGTTTATTATTAACTTTATATATTTGGGTTCATTGGGTTCGTTTTTTTATTCTATTTCGTCTTTTCTAGGTGTGATTTGGTAATTTGTTTGGGTTAATTTATTTTGCTTATTTTATTGTTATTTTTTTTATCTATTTATTTTTTATTTTATTTTTTCCGTTTTCGATTTTTAAGTAACGTATTAAAAATTTTTTTCCATGTTTGCTTTTTCAGATGAGCTCGGATCTTTTATTGAATAATTTATTTTGGTCTAGGAAGGTAATGATAGCTATTTTTTTCTCCAAGCAATGTTTGCAAGTTTTTGATTGGTTGTTGTAGGCTGATTACCTTTTCCTTATTTTCCAAGATATTTTTGGTGTGATGCACATTTTGTTTTTAATTTCCCAGGTATACTTAGAAAGCATTGTTCTGTTCGCATATTTACTATTTGTGAAAGATGTTTTGTGTGCATAATTTCTTTGTCCTTCAGCTACTTCTATGTATACTTTTTCTTCATTATCTGGCTTAATATATTACATTGTTTTGTAAATAATTACCGTTTAAGGGACATTCGTTCTTTATTCTGCAGTTCCATGAGGGTTTAATTTGTTTGTGTGGTTTGTTGATAATTTTTCTGTTGTACTTTTTTATTATTTATATATATATATATATATATATATATATATGATTTTTATATATATATATATATATATATATATATTTAAGCGTTTCACCCCAAGCAAGGCGGGAAGCCACTAGGATGCAAGGGGTTACAGGAAATAGCAAGATCAGATAGGAGTGATAGAAGAAAGGATGAGGGTAGTGGATAGATTAAGGCAACTGGAGATGTCGATTGACATTACATTTGAATAGCTGGAGATTATAGCTCACAGGGAAACAGTTGGAGATTATAACTATCAAGGAAAAAGGAGAAGGGAAGGGAGTTCCACAGGCGAGAGGTGCGAGACATGAAGCTATTAGAGTAGAAGAGACGGCTAAATTTAGGAGTTTCGACAGTGAAGGGGTGAGAGCGGGATGCTAGCCTCGTAGGGCGCTGGAACTCATGATGTCTGGGAGCCAGAGAATGCAGCTCCTCGGAGCAATTTCCATGAAAGTATTTGTAGAACAGACTGAGGGAGGCGACGGCGCGTCTGTGAGAAAGTGACTGTAGACGAGACGCCAGGGCAGGGCCAACCACATTGCATATCCGCCTCTGGAGCCTATCAAGAACCCCGAGGCAAACAGAAGGGGCACCAGACCATATATGGCAGCAATACTCCATGCAAGGGCGAATTATGGATTTGTATATCTGGAGAATCGACTCAGGGGAGAAAAACTTCCTAGCGCGGCTTAGGGAGCCAACTTTCCTTGCAGTGGACGAGGCAATTGACTCGATGTATTTATTCCATCTCAGGTCAGCAGTCAACGTGAGACCGAGAAGCCGCAGAGAGTTGCTCTCGAGAAGTTGAGCGTCAGACATTCTAATGGAGGGAAGGGAAATTTTTAGTCTCATGGAATTAGAGATTGGTGAATTTTTATGAGAGATCTATCGGGCTAGTGTGAATCCGTGTCCTTTTCAATAACATTTGATAGTTTATACTGGGTTATGACGTACACGAATTTTACGAACAGACTTTTTCTGTCATAAACATGCGAATTATTCCGACTTGATATGAAAAGATATATTGCAATACTAGGACAAGATGCAATATAATTTTTATTCCCTGCCTTTTGCATTAATTTTCTTTTCTCATTACGGTTTTTCCAGTGTTGAATATTTTGATAAGCGCTTACTTGCCATAAACATTGGTCGACGTTAAACATTAAATTTCTACAAGAGTCTCTCTTTAAACATCCATGTTATGCCGGTGGTTAGCGAGCAGGTTTCACATATTAAATATAGTCAGCTCGATCCCCGTTAAGTGGTTCAGAAAATTTCCACCAGCATTACCAAAAATGTGTTTGTAGAAAAGCACGATACACTAAATACGTTGATTAGAAAGCTGAGCTGAAACGTCATTAGGTATAAGTTTTATCGCAATAGATTCTTCGGGAATCTCTTATACGAAGTTTGACAGAGATGATATTTATTAAATTTATTCCAAGACAAATTAACTTTAATAAGATTATGTTATGCTAAACATCAAAATGTGAAGAGTCTTATATTTATAAGGATTGGTTTAGTTTGTCGAAAGACCAGCGTAAAAGTGCACCTAGTAAGAATCAATCTCATCGATAAGCTTGCGAGATTAGCGTGTTCTACGGCAGTAGCCAAAATAGTAATAAGTCTTCATTGGTTGTCAAAAAACAACAAAAGAAAAGAAACAGTGGCAAATCAATTCTCTCATTTATTTATAGTGTATGCAGGAAGATATTTTAATACGTTTGTCATCAGTTGTTGGGGAGAAAAATCGATGATTTGAAAATGTTGTCCATATATCTATAGTGAGCTGAGTGTGAATTTTTTTAGTTATTGATGAGCTGAATCATACATAGTTGAGTTTCAATGAGATTTTTATAAGTGCTTTTTTTAAAAAAAATTTCAAATGCTATATTCTGACATTGAGTCGATTTAAATTTGTTATTCTTTTTACGTAACTCCGCAAAAGGTTCTATTAATTCACTATATTTTGGCAAATATATGTTATGAAAATTGGCTACCCCTAAAAAAAAGATTTCAATTCTTTTTTTTTATTTTTGCGCGTAGATAACTACGATATTTTTTTTTAACAAATTTGTGTCTGGTGAAATTCCGTCTTTAGAATTCTGGTATACCATATACGCCATTGTGTTGCAATTTAATACACATTTATCCTTGTTTATAGTCACCCCAGGATTTTTTTGATTTGTTTAAAATATAATCCTGTTGTTTGTTTTAACCTTTCTTTATTGGAAGCACCGATATCATCTTGATAAATGATCATATTCTTAACCTCACCAATTAGTAAATTTTCAATTGCTCTCTGAAAAGCACCACTTGCTGTTTTTACACGAGAAGGCGTGTAATTCCATCTGAGTAAGCGTATTGGAGAGTTAATTGTAGCATCTTATTTAAAGTTTTGATCAATTGGTATCTGCTTATAGGCAGATTCGTGATCAATTATGCAAAGTATTTCGTTCTCGACAACGCGTAAAGTATAGTTTCAGTTTTAGGAATTGGGAACGAATCGGAGCATATTTTGTGGTTCACACCTACTTTGTAATCCCCACATATCCTTAAATCTCCATCCGGGTTTGGTAAAACCATGGGTGAGGACCAATTACTACCACCAGGGGGGGTGGATATGATCTAAAATTCTTTGCTCCAACATTGGTTTTAGTCTAACAACTACTATAGAAAGAGAATGGTCACTCTGCAAGATACAAAGAGGGGTGAGTATCTTGCATTAACTGAATACTCGATTTGCACTCTTGTGGAGCGAATACGGAAATAAACACGAAGACATTCAAATACGAAATGACATAAAAATGGTTTCTCGGAGGATTGCGCATTGTTCCAGTTAAAAAATTGATGCTATAAGAAAAAATATTTAACATTGTTCATCCAACGGTTCACGTTCCCTCCATCAATAAAAAAAAATATGCATCGTGATCCCCTTGAAGGGTATTTTAGCAAAGTTTCCAGTGAAGAAAGATAATCGACAGCAGACGGTAACAGGTGACATCGCCCAACAAACGAAATTCCCATACACATTCACCCGTCTTCCTCACCAAGCTACGGGACACTTACACTTTCCTCCTCGCATTCTCCCCCGCCTCTTCTTTCTCACACACGAAGAAATTACATTTATTTCTGATTTCTTTTCACCTTGGAAAACAACTCCAAGGAAAGGACTGAATCCTGGACTTTAACACTCACACACGCTATGAAAAATTTAGTTGTAAAAAACACGAAAATATTTTTTTTTATATTTAAACACCATTTTCGTCTTAAAATTCAAAAATTCAAACAATGTCTTCGTCGACTGGATTTTGCTCAGAGATTGATTTGTTTTATATTTTTATCAAACCTTTGTGGATTTAATATCGGAACATATCTTGTAATGTAATAATAATTCTTTATTTTAGCGAGTGAATATTAAATTAAAAATATTTTCTTTTTTACAATAACAATCGTTTTTTTTTCGAATACAAGTTCAACTATTTAACCAATAGCTGTATTTAAGCGTAAATGTATGCAATGAACACGACCGGAATTCGAACTCGGCTCACCGACACAGATAGAGAAACACAACTTTTAACACATACGTACACACGCATGCGCACGCACACACCAGAGAGGGAAGGAGAGAGAAAGAGAGGAGGGAGAGAAAGAAACAGTTTGAGTTAAAGAGGGACATACACTGTAAGAGAGAGCACTTTTATGTATGTGTGTCCGAATTTATATCACAAGAGTGCTACAGGTTTTTAAGTCCACAAAATAAATTTATATCATATAGGAAGAACTTGAAATAACTTAACAATCAGTATTCGAAACGGTTGAACTCAGAAATTGAGTTTTGCTATCGAAAGCTCACACGACTGCTTGAAGCACTGAACGAGATGGATACGCGCTTAAATGCAAATATACACACACACCCAGACAAAATATAGAAAGACATACGCATGTATTATAAGCACACAGCCACATCATTAGGATTCATGAATATCTAAGCAACAGTTAGCAAGTGACTGTTTTTAAATTATCAAGTATCGTATGAAGTGGTTTAATGCAACTTCTACTTCTCCCAGGTAACAGAGCTCGGCGAGGTGTACGCTTTTTTCCTTGTAAAGAAAACAGGAATAAAGGCGTTGTTTTTTTCGTTTCGTCCTGCAGAAACTGGGCACGTGAGAATACACGTGTTAGCCGAATGTGAGTTTTAACCAACTCTCTCGATCTAAATATAATCAGTATCTATCTATCTATCTATCTATCTATCTATCTATCTATCTATCTATCTCAGTCTGTTCATATCTATCTATCTATCTATCTATCTATCTATCTATCTATCTATCTATCTATCTATCTCCGTCTGTTCATATCTATCTATCTATCTATCTATCTATCTATCTATCTATCTCAGCCTGTTCATATCTATCTATATCTATATATATATATTTTCTTCATACTGTCGGATCTATATCCATATATTTGCTTACATATCTATCTATCTATCTATCTATCTATCTATCTATCTATCTATGTCTGTTCATATCTATCTATCTATCTATCTATCTATCTATCTATCTCAGTTTCTTTATCTATCTATCTATCTATCTATCTATCTATCTATCTATCTATCTATCTATCTATCTATCGGATTATTTATCTTATCCTTATGTATCTATGTGACGAGACTTGCTTAAAATTCAATGAGGTCTGCATTGTACATCATATGGAAAATAGGAAGTGAAAGATAATGTTGCGTCAGTATTCCATTCGGGGAAAACTTGCTTTTATAGTCAAAAATAAAAATAAAAAATAAGTGAAGCTTGACATGTATGAAAAAAAATGAGAATTGAAATGAGAAAATCAAAGGCATAGGGTGAAAGAAGTAAAGAAAAAAAGCTAGAAAAGGAAAGAAATGAAAAGCTAAAAAAAGAAAAAGAAAAAGAGGATTAAAGGAAAGAGGAGGAAAAGAAAGTGGGAAAAAGGAAAGGCGGAAAAGTAAAGGGGGAAGGAAAGAGAGGAAAAGGAAAGAGCGAAAAAGGAAAGGGAATAAAGTAAAGTGGGGAAAAACGAAATAAAAGGAATGCCCGAGAATGAAAAAAAAAAAGAAAGAAAAAAAACGACAAAGAAAAAAAATCAAATAATAAAACAAAAAACAATAACAAATGAAATCGAATTTAATTGGAGACACTTGGTTTATTAAACATAAAAAAATTAAATTTATTATTTAAATTTACTTGGAAAGATATGCCAGTTTCATATCTTATTTTGTGTATTTTGCATGGACTCAAGTCCTTTGTCTTATTTGAAGAAAATAGCATAAATATTATCAATTAAAAGTGATATTAATCTATAAAATTATTCACCAATATTGTTATCAATATTTTTCTCGTTTGAACACATATATATCCGATGATAAATTCCAATAATTGATTTTCCCAGAAATAATCATGTCAACTGCATTTAAATTCACTTTTTCCACTCGAAATGTTTTTCGCGCCAACATAGAGGCTACCATTTTGTTTCTTCTTTGTTTCGTTTTCTTTCCACAAAATGTTTTCCCAAGTTGCATGGTAACAGATGATTTAAGCGATCATCACATCATGGAATGTTGATTTTTCTATCCATACCGTATATATCTACATACGCTCTATTACCGATATTGAGCTCCTTCTTTTTAAAATACAATTAACCTTAAACGATATATATATATATATATATATATATATATATATATATATATAATATTAGTACCTGACGAAATTATGAGTTGTACAACTGACGTAAGTGATATGTGTAGTTATTAATATAGACTTTATAGCTCTGTTACACTACATTTGAAAATCTGTATTTGAACGTAGTTGTACGCATTTATAGTTTCTCATATGTATTTATTTAATTCATATATATATATATATATATATATATATATATATATATATATATATATATATATATATATGTTCGAATCTCCTGTCGAATTCGACGTATGAGGGTTAATCAGATCAGTTCCTACGAACCGACAGCCCGACACCAGAACATGAGATTTGATTATAGTGGTGAAGATTTTGTGTTGAACCATCCAAATGCACTTTTTATTCTGCCAAAATTAGTCAGTTAGTACATTAAACAAAATGTTATGCCGTGAAATTTGTATATATATATATATATATATGTATATAGAAAGTGTGAGTTTGTAAACAGTGACTATTATGTCTAATAATGCATGCCTCTTCGGTAAAGCGAATCGAGTTCTCTCTGTCACTGTGTGTTTATCTAAAATAACTTAACTTTAACTTCATCCTTGCCAGCGGCTTAGGAGTAGAATCTCCGACTGACGACAATTCAAGCGGGGTTCGATGCTAGCTAGAGGCAACCGGACTCCTAACTACACTGATGAGCTGTGATACAGCGAAACAGTCTGTGGATGAATCTCCTACAAATCTTTTAGACGGTCTCCTTGTTTAAGTTGGTGAATGCTGCCATAATCCTTGCCTTCTATTTATCTTTCGTATTACAATGAGTTTTGTTGATCTCGTTCAACTACGCCCCCCACCCCACATAATAAGAAAGGGGGTTGCAGTCTGGGGAGTTAGGTGGCCAGATGTAAGGGGTGATGTGGTCGCAGAAATTGTTTGACAGCCACGGCTAGGTTCTCCTACTTGTGTGGTATGGTGCAGAATCCTGTTGTCAGACATAGAGTCTTCTTAACTCAGGGCAGCATTACCTCCTTAAGGCACTTGATGTTGGTCTCTGTGTTGAGTCTAAGGCTCTCACCAAGAAATTCGGGATTTCTTTTCTTAATAGAACGATCAGAGTGAGTTTTCCGAACTGCCATACCTTCGTAATCACCATTAGACTCATCCAACTCTTTCCGAATCCTCTGCACTGTACTCAGATTGACACTCAAATAGTCTGAAGTGTTTCTGTTGCAACTTCCGGTGCGAATGCCAAGCAGTACAGCATGCCATTTCCAAATTTCTGGCGGAGTGAATTGCGTCATGATTCGCTTTTTCTAACAGACGGCGCCCAACTGACTCTACTGTAAGTTGACAAAATAAAAATATTAACAGCAACGCACTTGCACAAAATAAAAAATGGCGACAATTTACCCATTGCACCCTATATATATGTGTGTGTGTGTATTTAGGCAGCAATCCTTCTTTCATGCACGTTTCATTGAAAACGGCAGACAAGGTGCTTTTATTTAGTTTTTTTATACAGTTTCTCATGCGATCTAATAGTTTTTTTTTTCCTTTCGGATGATAAATTATATAAAAACTGTCCCAATGTTCTTTTTATCCGAGCGCTTTCGGCTATACATTTAGCCATTTTCAAGGATTATATATTAACTGTTAAAATTAGAAATAGTTTGTTGTATGTATGTTTTAAAAAATGTTTTCATTTTTTTTTGTTTCAAAACACAGTCAAGATATTATATCGATGTTCAAAGTTAATATTATTAAGTGTTGGTTTGTTTTTATTAATAAGGCTTCCATTATTTTTAGGCTTTTTTTTTGCATGTAGATGATGCTATTATATTAGTGTTGTCGACAAGTATGTTCCGAATAGTGTCCGGTAGGTTTCCATGAATATTTAAATGATATCTAATTGAGCTATGGTTAGAAATGTATAGAGTTAGTCTGCGTGTCAAACATGTTGTAGTGTGGCCTATATAATTATTTACGAATTTTGCTTGGAGAGGAATACAATAATTAATAATAAAGCGAATAAGGCACTATGAGAATAGTGCTCGAGGTAAAATACTAAACATATATACACAGAGCCAATATAAGAAATGTCAGACACTTAGTCCAATGATGCTTAAGCTTTGCAATCTCTTCATGAAAGAAGGTGACGTCCTGGTCCTCAAAAAATTCCTCCACGGTACAAATGATCTCATCATTGTTTCCAAAATGGTGACCAAGAAGGTGATATTAGGAAACAGAAAAAAGTCAAATGGAACTAAGTCTGGTGAGTCAGGTGAATGGCGTAGCAAATTAAATCTACAGTTGGCCACTTCAGCTACTGCAACCTGAACAGTGTGAACAGATGTGTTATCCTGAAGCAAAATCACACCTACGCCTAGCCTTCCTTTGAGTTTCGACTTGACTACTTCAATTTTCTTATTTCTGATGCGATGTATTGTCTATTAACAGTTTTTCCTATTTCCAGGTCGTCTTTCATGAATACGCCTTCAGAAGCCATCTCCTTGCCAACAGATACTGCCTGCTTGGACATCTTTGGGGTGGAGTACCAGAGCGTTTCCATCGTTTGACTTGTATGTTTGATTTAGGTTCGTGGTGGTGAACCCAGGTTTTATCTTGAGTTATTAATCTGCGGTGGAAATAATCAAGGTCAGCTTGGAAGCCAGTCAGAAGTGTTCCGAAAATGTCACTCTTTTTCAACTTGGTGCCAGTATTTTTGGGATACATCTTGCAGACAGCTTGCTCGTCCCCAAGATATCAGTTAAAACAGCATGGGCCGAAAAAAACTATAGAACACAGTCTGCCCTGCTATTGAGGGGGAAGAAGAGGGTTAATACCTTCCCCAAAGATATATATATATATATATATATATATATATATATATATTTTGTATACACAAAATTTAATGATCGAAATAAAAGTGTAAAATTTAATATTACAAGACATATTAAAACAATATTAAATAATAAAAAAAACAATAAAAACTCAACAGGGGGGAAGAAACTGGTTTCGCTCCTGCTCGTCAGGCTTCCACGGGAGATTCAAAATTAAAACAGAAATGTATAACAAGAATAGGTGGAAAAAATATACATATATATATATATATATATATATATATATATATATATATATATATATATATATATATATATATATCAGTCGAATCCATTACATACATTTACGTGGTAGTACCCTGGGGAAACGTATGAATCCTCTTCTTCTCCATCTCGCTCTGGGGTAAATAGCAGGACAGTCTGGGTTCTATAGCCCTGGATGGCAACTGGTCTAGGAGAAGGACAATTCTGAACCCAAAACCTGCGGAGGGCACATAGTACACCAGGTCTCCGTCTTCGGGCCTTCAAAAAGTGTGGATGGTTCAGCACAAAAATCTTCACCACTATAATCAAATCTCATGTTCTGGTGTCGGGCTGTCGGTTTCTAGGAACTGATCTGCTTGACCCTCGTACGTCGAATTGGACGGGTGAGTCGAATATATATATATATATATATATATATATATATATATATATATTAAGAAGAGTATTTACTTAATCTATATATGTATATATATAGATTAAGTAAATATATATTAGAAACTATACATGCGTTCAAGTACGTTCATATATAGATTTTCAAATAAATATAAATATTTATTTAATTTTTGGTGCAATCAAAACACTGCTCAATGTAGTGTAACAGAGCTATAAAGTCTATATTAATAATTATACATATTACTCCAGTTGTACAACTGAGAATTTCATTAGGTGCTAACATTATATATATATATATATATATATATATATATGTGTGTGTGTGTATGTGAGTGTGTGTATATATACATATATGTACTATAAATTAACTGATTAAAATGTTTTTTTCGCTACACAGTTTTAACCATGTTTCAAAAATGGAAGCTAAAAGCTTCGAATTTAATTTTGTAATTAAACTAAAAACATTAGTTCCATTTTATCCTCAATTGAATTATCAGTTAATTTATAATATTAATGCTCTGTAAATTTACATTGAGCACTATTTT